GGCTTGTGCAGCAGATGACGTCTCGATATGCTTCTACAACGCATTTCATATGACTGGGAAACCAGTCGTATACGAAAACACTGATTAGCGTATTATATGAAGCTAGGTCCTACCAGGATCTAGCTTCATATAATACGAATCTAGGATGTAGCCTTCAGAATCCGGCTAGATCCTATATCACAAAGCAGTAATAATGAAGGCGAAAACGAAATTCACAATTCAACACAACACTACCACTTATGACCGATAAACATCGTATATAGTTGTACACCACTTTGTTACTCATTTTTATGCGTGAGTGGTGAATGTCACAAGTGATTTACGGTAACACCTAATGACCCGACTGCTTCGTTCACTCATCATCATTTACGTCATGGGTACGTCTTGATTTTTTTGCGCGCGTGTTATACTTGCTAACAAAAAAAAACAGGGTCCTTCATGCATTCGCCTAAGATGACTCGAAGGCGAAGGCTATCTTCTTCTAATAATTATAATTGTTAGGCTTTAACGTCCCAAAACCTCGACATGATTACGAGGGACGCAGTAGTGAAGGGCTCCGCAAACTTCGACCACCTGAAGTTCTCTACTATGCTTCTAAATCTGTGTTTCACACTCTTCGTCTTCTTCTCAGTCGATGTATCAGCGCATCCTCCTGCATCTGGTGGCTCTCTTCACCTAACGACGTCTTCCACTATATCCAGGATAGGGTGCATTGCAAATTATTTGCGCATCACCTTCTTTTGGACTGTCTCTATGATAGGCCAACCTTTGATCAAACGAGGATGTCATATGATGACGCCACATAGACGTCATGATGACCTCAGAGATTTTGACAATCTGTGAATTCAGGTATTCACGTCAACAGGAAGAGATGATTTTTTTTTGTCAGCACTCTTTTTCACGCCGCCAATGATGGCGGTCAGTTCTTGCGTTTGATAAGGCGACTATGGCTTCTGGTTTAAACTAGAAGCATGTAATGCCTAATCCCACTGGTTAGAGAATACACAACATAATATATGGTTGATGTGGGGTTAGAGTACCCAGGAGAATTGAGGTGTTTTTGCTGAAAATGCACACAGTATTTTATTACATGTAATAGTGGAGCTCCATAAAAAGATAAAAACAAGCCTTCCTCTTGCCTATCATGTCAGAAAAGTTAGACACTTTGCGTATGCCGCTGATTCTTACTCGTAAGACATTTAGATCTAGGCACACGATATGTTCAACTGGCGGACGCAGCTTTGATCTTTCGTAGAGTTCCCAAAGTGACCATAAAACACTGGCACAAGTGACTGAAGCGAATGACCTTTTTCGTCTGGCGAACATGTGGCTTCCGAACGTTTGTTTTGAAGGGCCGGGGCCATCGCGGGGTATCTTTGCAGCACATGGAAGGATGCGAGTCGTTCGGAGACCCGCGTATCCACAAATCGGCTATATTGGGCTCTGCCGAGCACTTTACAGCCTGCAACCACATGGTCTGCCGTGCGCGGGAAACCACCCGCGTACAAACTGGACAGGGTAGTTCCGTTCTCCGTTCAATAGCGCGAAAACCAGGGTATATTCAAGCAACAAATTTCTTGCTTGGCTCCAGGACTTTTCAATTCAAGTCAACGCTTCATTTGCCTGGCACTGAACAAAGGATGAAAAGAGCAGCAACGAGCGGCTACTGCAATGAGTAGGGAGACTGAGGGACATCCCTTCTTTAGACGACATCAACGGACAGTGCTTAGGATGTGAGTCACTAAAAAATCACACAGGAGAAACGAGGTACGCGCAATACAAATCTGTCACGTTGGTGGCAGATTATTTGAGAGTGGATTAAGAGGAAGCGTTTGTAGTAAACAGTTTTAGAGAGATAGAACGAATCTATATGAAAAAAGGAAGTCACAAATAACGTGACAGTATCTTGCTAAAGACATGTCATGAACAATTGCTATGATTTACTTGATGTGTCAACGCCATGGTCATGTTGGTGACTAGACTATGTAGACAATGTCGAAAGTCTTCAAAGCAGCGTATGTGAGATCACGTATGAAATATCGCACTGAGAAGGTTATAATCATCTGACCCCAAATAATTTCTCGAGTCACAGAAATGGACATGTTTCTCACTATACTGTCCGCATTGCAGATCCTCGATGTACTGAAAGTTTAAGGGCCTATGATGAATATTAAATTTTATATTTGAAATATTCTTGAGTAGGGAACAAAGCCAACGTCCCAAAAAAAGATCTTGTCTTCTTCTTGCTGCTTTATAGAATACACTGCGGGTTGTCCAAAACAGTAGCTCCATAAGACCCCTGGTAAAACATTTTTTAAAAGTTTTTTTCAAGCATCTGTTTTCTTTTAATCTTGTGCCTCGTTTTCGGTACGTGACAGTCTAGCCGTTTTACGCATGTGACAGTGAGTCAATTGACTTGCAGCTTTTCTCCATACCTACGATGTTTTGAAGGTATAACGCTTATGAGAAACGCCCCAGCTGTATATTTGGTTGAGAGCTGGGAGGCGTCGTGTTGTCGGAGAAGTTAAAGTAACGCCCCCCCCCCCCCCCCCCGCAAGCGTAACGTTGAGGGAAGAGAGAAAGGAGTCTGTGAAAGCAGAAGATAAGAACGTTGCTATGAATACAAGGTTTGCCATTTCAAATGGGATACCTCCTATGTTGTCTGCAGCTTCACGCACAAAAGCAATGTCTTTCCCTTTTCGTACGCTTCAGCATAGCCGGTGTTTTTTTCCACGACTGTGCGTGGCACGTCCTCTACTTAATCTACTCTTCAAAAAAATGTTTGGCCACGTGGTTTGAATGACTGGCCCTCTGTTCCTGTTATCCGGCGCAGGAAGCAAACAAGTCACCCAAAAGGAAACAAACTAACTACAAGTGACTCAAGCGGCGACTGAAGGTGTTCCGTATACGACCCAGTGAGGAGACTCAGTGAGGAGATCTTCACGTCTTCGGAGCACACGAGCACGTGGAATGATCTAAAGCTCCACGGTCTTTTTGAGAAAGAGAGAAACGACCGAGAAACGTGAGAGGGAAGGCCCGCGTGTCCGGCGGCTTTCCCCGGACCCTTCATCTTCCACGGCTTTCGATCTTTGCGCGGACACCTTCGTTATGACGCCTGCTGGCCACTTTTCCTTGCCTGACCACTCTCGGGTACCACACTGCAAGAGGCTGCCGGCGACGAAATCCAGCAGCCTCCCTTTCTTTTTCGGCAACTGGAGTGCCCGCCGGCAAGACGCCGTTTTGTACGCTCTATTCTCGCCTTGCCCTCGCCTCTCTTCATCCTCCGTCTGACTGCTCCCGCGGTGCAACTCTACGCGCGAGGGTTTATACCGGTAGCCGCCCATTTTTTCGCCTTGTGGATTGCCACCCCCCCGCCACCTCTTCGTGCTGCTGCTTCCGAGCACGCATCCATCTACATACACAGGCATGCGCCGCCAAGTAGTCGTGTTCTCGGCGTATAGTGCGCGTTACATGCAAGGTCGTGTCGGAATGCCTTGCCCCTCCTGTTTAAGGGCCGGGGACATCAAACGAACGGCGCCACTCGGCTTTCGTGTTCGTTTGGCATCCGTCGGGGGGCGCGGCCGCTGCCACCGTGCTAAGCCCGTAATGCTGCTGAGGTGTAGTACACCGGAGGGCACGGCAGGGCGGAAAATAGAAAGGACACGGCTCTCTGTCTCTGTAAAGGAGCTGCCGCCGACGAGGCGTCACCTCTCCGTTTGGAGCGGCGTATTCCAGGGGTCTTTTGTTGCGTGGAGCCGCTGAGCGTCTTTGGCGCGGAAACGACGCCGTGAGAATGATGGCGTTGGTGATGACAGCCTGCGTGGTGTCGCTCGGCGCGAATGTACATCTGTCACAGCTATAAGTGCGTGAAAGTGTTTTTTGTACGTATCGTCCCGCCTATGTGTGTGCCCTTCGGTGTTTGTGTTGTGGTACGGACGATCCCGGTACGAGATGAAATTTTCACGGTGGGAGTGACTGGTTTGTGTCGACTGACACGCGTGTATTTGTAATCTAGACTTTGGGAACATGAATGATGACTTCTTGAGTGCGATAAGTCTATGTAGCAAATTTGACGCACACTGCTGGTTACGATGAGAATAGGGTCTGATAGACCCTCCCCCCCCCCTTTTTTTTTTATCACGAGTGTGTGAAAACCAACTGACTCAGAAAAAAAAGCGTAGACCGAACCTTCTCTCTCTCTTTTCTACGAAATACACAAAGTTGACGAAAAGACCACGTGGCGCCGTCGGAAACCAAAACGCATGGTTTAAATACTGAAGCAGTGCTCAACCATCTAAACAGCAACATGGCTGTGCACATGTCGCGTACAAATACGAAATAAGGATGAGGTCTTAACACTGTCAGCCAATGCCTTTCATTGTGTCTTCTATTCATCGTATGTCGATAATTACTTGAGGTGGGCATCACATACACTGATCCCCCACCGCTGAGCTTGACGTAACATGACGTAATTTACGGAACCCTTCAATACGGCATCTCTCATAAACATATCGTGGTTTTGGGACCTTAAACTCAAGATATTATTATTATTATTATTATTATTATTATTATTATTATTATTATTATTATTATTATTATTATTATTATTATTATTATTATTATTATTATTATTATTATTACCTCTGACCAAGTCTGTTGGGTGTAAGCATAGCGGCTCATTTGAACATTCAGAAATGTTAGCTCGCTGCCTATGGAAGCTCGGGCATGAGCAAAATTAAGCGACGCTCGAGAACAGTGTCATTTACTCTCTTCTGCGTTGTTTTAATTGGCTCGCTGTGAAAAGTTTGAGGTTTATATTACCTCGATTACTTTGAAGATTATGTTCCAAGTCAGGACTAACAAAAAGGCAAAGGTCTCTTTTTTTTTCTTGCAAAACTAACGAACATAAAAAGGCAGTCTTCTCAGTGCTTGGTTCATCAAGCAGAAGCCTCGTCTCGCCAGCTAATCGAAGAAATAATTTGAAATATTGCTGTACTCACATCCACGTGCCCAGGGACATAGCGGTGGGTGGCAGGCCCGCCAGGGCCAGCGCGATCACCAGCAGGCCTGCGCGGGCCATCCTCGAAGCGGGCACAAACGCCGTGGAGGCGGCGGCGGTGCCCAGGATGACGCGTTGTTTCACATCTTCCACCGTGCCATGCCACCGCCTTCTCGTCGACACGACGTTGCCGGATGGAGATCCTGCGACACGGAGGAGAGCTGTGTAAAACATGCGAGTGTTTTAATTGAAGTGAACTAAAAAAGCATGGCTTATTTCTCCGTCATAGGAATCGTTATAACACGAAAGGGAAATGTATACCTTCACCGAAGTTGATTGTATATTGTGCACTGGTTTATGAGAGTTTTTCTTGGTGTTTGGCAACCCACGTGGACGCCCAGTGGCACATCTCCAGGCCAATTAACACCTATCATCCTGATCTAATCATTGTGGTAGATAATCTTTTTATATATACCTGGAGAGAGTATATGGTCCGCCCGCGGCGGCTGCATTTCCGATGGAGGCGGAAATGTTGTAGGCCCGTGTGCTCAGATTTGGGTGCACGTTAAAGAACCCCAGGTGGTCGAAATTTCCGGAGCCCTCCACTACAGCGTCTCTCATAATCATATGGTGGTTTTAGGACGTTAAACCCTACATACCTATATGGTCCGCCCCGCGCAAAGATGCTATGGCATTGACAACCTCATAATAAACACTAGTACTCAATATGCACTTCTTCAAAGTGTCGTCACTTAAGGAGAGAAACGACAAGGTGGGCGCCCTACAGTAATAGGGTTACCTGCTCTTGTGCTCGTGCATACATTATACTACACTGCGCTTCAGCAACGCGGGAGGCACAAGTTTGTGGCTTCAACGGCGTGAACGCGTGAAGTAGTTCCACTTGCGTGTTTCGCTTACGGTGTATGAAAAAAAAAATTCGGACGATCCCATGTACCTTGTGAATCGATGTTATGCGAAGCATGCATAGGGAAGGTGACCATGTTGTAATTTTTTTTTTTGAGCGACACGTCATGAAATGACGCTAAATATATGTATAAGTGTTGCACGAACAGACATGTGTTGGAGAGTTGTAAATATAACCAGTTGTTTGCACTTGCGCAAAGATATCAACAAGAACAGCAGTATTAACAACACTGGAAGCGATAAGCTGACATGAAGCGCTGGTGCTTGCGAGGATAGTAGCCCTGGACACTGCTATACATAAATGAACTTCAGCAGATGGCACCTAACTACAATTGACGTCAACCCGACATGACGGCTCTATCAAAAGGGCACATATGTAAGCGTTATGTAATCAAAGAGCCAGCACTGCAACCACAACTGAAGTTTCACGAACATTAAGGTCTATTTGAAAAGCAGTTTCGAGACTGGGCCCGGATCAGTGGTATAATAGTTGATTGCTACGCAGAATGCTTCGGTTCGATTCCAGCTTGGACCTTGGCGTTTATCTTTTGCATTCATCGGGTCAACGCTGCCGATGTCATGTTTTTCTTAAATCTCACGTGTTAAAATTGTCCATGTGTTTTCTCGTCATTCCTGGGTAGATAATGACCCCCGTATTCACCAACGCTTCTCGACTCGAATTTAACCCTTCACTTGACAGAGTTGAGCACTGCACCGCTGCTCGGCTGAAATAGACGCTGCGCTACTCAAGAATCGCAAGAGATTATCGCTGATATGCAGTGGCTTGTCATGCCTAGAGACAACGCTACCATCGGCTTTCTCAAAGGAAAGTGAAGCGTTGAGCGAAGGCACATTCTAGAATACAGGTGTAAGTGTCAATAACCCATGGCACATACCCGCATACTAGCAGCACATACCCCCCCCCCCCCCACCCCGGTTATGTGCTACTTTCTGACGGGGGAGGTCTTTGACGACTTACGCGACGCTATTAGGACATTATTGACGTGTTGACCAGGGCGTCATATTCGTCAAATCCATCTTACCCTCCCATACTAATTTTAGTTCCCGCGAAGTTAAGGCGGTGATCACGAGAGCACCCAGACCTAAGTGAGTATATAGGGATAATAAAGCGCAGACAGACACCAAAAGTGCTTGCAGTACGCCAAAGTGCTTCTCATTTTATTTTTTTTCTCACTCCTCCTGCGGCACTGCACACAATGTACCCTGAACGGTTTCCAAGCCCAGACTTCCCCCTGTGTGGTGGTTATGCGGACTTCGAGCATGTACTGTGGGGCTGCGCCTCTGCCGGTCCCCCTTTCACCCAAGAGGAAATGGAGCGACTCATTAGGGCCCAGTACCAGACCTCTCAAATCCTGGCCGTCCAGAGGGCCCGCGCGAGGGCCGTCAGGTTTAACCTGATGGTCCCCGAGTGGGCCTAGCCAGGTGACGCTGAGTTTACTCGCGTCTATTGTGGACCGAATAAAGTTGTTTCACTCACTCACTCACTCCTCCATGACGCATTCACCCGTCGAAATCATTGCCCTTCCGCGGTGCCTACTGTGGCAGTTCCATTAGTCAGTGCTATCTCACTCGAGGTAGCAGGTGGCGAAGAAACTCCGTTGGTGCATGTGGAAGCTGCACTACTCTGACAAGAAGTGGGACACGATAACACGACGTGAAAGGCAGCGCACGTAATTGAACTCAAGGGTGCATCCTCGGTATTAGCGAAGGAACGCATAACTTTTTCTGAGCTTGCTTTGTCATCAAGCAGTAACGTATTGGTGATAACCGAGACTTGGCTGACAAATGATATAACCGATGCAGAAGTGCTAGATCACCTACCTGGATTTCAACTTTATCGTAAGGACCGTACAGGCGCACGTGGAGGCGGGGTTCTGATAGCTGTGCACCAACAGTTATCGTGCTCGGTGGCCAGGACCAACTCTCCTGAACTTGAAATTCTTTGGGTCGTTTGCCGTGCTCGCCCTCATACTGTCCTTGTAGGCGTTTGTTATAGACCCCCGAACAGTGACCCAGATTTCGCATATAAGCTCAACAACAACCTGAGTGACCTTGGGAAACAGTATCCGCAAGCAGAGATACTGCTTTTCGGCGATTTTAATTTCCCTCAAATAGATTGGAGTAGTAGCGTCCCGTCAGCTGTGGGCAGTGAGCCCGCAAAGGACTTCATAGATTTCTGCCTGAATTGCAATCTAACCCAACTTGTATCCCAACCAACGCGCGTTACAGAGAGCAATTCCAGCATCTTAGATCTAATACTAACTAGTCATCAAGAGAGCTTATCATCAATTACATATCTGCGTGCCGTCAGTGACCACAAGGTAATCCATGCGGCCTTTGCGTTTCGACCTGTAAAACGCGATCTTGTCACCAAAACAATCCGTCTTTACGACAAGGGCAATTATAGTGCCATCAATAATGAATTGATATCTTTTCTTCCTGATTTCGAGAGAATAAGCCATACACGCTCTGTGGATGAGAATTGGATTATATTTAGAGATAAGTTAGCCACTCTTGTCGAGAAATTTATCCCAAAAATAACGTTTACCGCAAACCGAAACAAGCCATGGTTTTCACGTACACTTCACAAACTAAGAAACAAGAAAAAACGCCTCTTCCGATCAGCCAAACAGTCTAAACTTCTGTCCTTATGGGAAAAATATTACGCCGCGGAAGATGATTATCTTAGAACCATTCGAAACGCCAAGCACGTGTTCTTTCATGAAGAGCTGCCCAAAATGCTTGCAACCAGCCCTCGCAAATTCTGGGAGGTGATAAACCCTCAGGAGATGCGCACCACTAGTCTTTCAAATGCGCATGGCGATATAGTCGACAACAATGAATGCGCGAACCTTTTTAACGAGGCCTTTTTCTCTGTTTTTACGAATGAGAGTTCAGTTCCCGATTTTTCTTCACCTGCGCGCAGCACCGAGTCTATGCCCCCGATTGCATTTTCTACGGACGGCATCATTTCGATTATAGAAAAGATTAAGCTTTCTTCTTCTGCAGGTGTGGATGACATTAATTCAAAACTTCTCATAAATGTTAAACATGTGTGTGCCGCATACCTTACATTGTTATTTTCGCAGTCATTATCATCAAGCATTCTGCCAGCAGACTGGAAAGTAGGCAAGGTCGTTCCAGTCTACAAATCAGGTAACAGAGATTCTCCACTAAATTACCGTCCCATATCCTTAACAAGTATCCCCTGCAAAATCATGGAACATGTCATCTACTCCCATATCATCAACTTCTTGGACTCAATGCACTTTTTTCATCCTTCTCAACACGGGTTCCGAAGGGGTTATTCTTGTGAAACGCAGCTGGCCATTTTCATTCACGACTTACATTCTAACCTTGACTGCAACATTCAGACCGATGCTCTTTTCCTGGATTTCGCCAAAGCATTTGACACTGTCCCTCACAAACGCCTAATTCTTAAATTATCTCTGTTAAATCTAGATCCTAATGTACTTGCATGGATAACATCTTTCCTGACTAATCGTTCCCAATTTGTGTTTGTTAATAATCACTCATCTAACCGACTACCTGTAACCTCAGGTGTCCCGCAAGGGTCTGTCTTAGGGCCTCTACTCTTTTTAATTTACATTAACGACCTACCATTGCATGTATCATGTAACTTTCGTATGTTTGCCGATGACTGCGTAATCTACCGATCAGTAACCAACATTCATGACCAAACACTAATTCAGCATGATCTTAACAACATACAAACATGGTGTGATCGTTGGTTAATGAACCTAAATCCTAATAAATGTAAGCTCGTTTCTTTTTCTCGCCACCGTAACCCTTTTGAGTTTACCTATTCCATCACTAATGTTCCCATACAATCAGTTCAATCATTCAAATACCTCGGCATCACCTTGGCTCATGACCTGTCTTGGCGTCATCACACTACTAACATCATCTCGTCTGCTAATAAATCACTCGGGTTTCTCAGACGACACTTACGCCATACTCCGCCTCACGTCAAGACGCTTGCATACAAATCATTTATCAGGTCCAAACTCGAGTATGCATCTTCCATCTGGAGCCCTCATCAATCATACATCATAAGTGAACTCGAATCACTTCAAAATCGGGCTACCAGGTTCATTCATTCTGCATATTCATACGATATCAGCATCTCATCTCTAAAGGCGGAATCAGGTCTAGAAACCCTTGCTTCACGCCGACGGTGTGCCACCCTCTCTCTTTTTCATATGTTTTATTTCAGTTCACTGAATCATCCACCGTA